AATACCCTTATATTTCTACCTGACTCCGTATTGGTAATTTCCTACTATAAGGGAGGCTGAGGCTGAGGGATACAGCTTAGTGATAATTTGCCTCCACATGCAAAGCCTGGATTCTACCTCCAACCTTGCAAGGAGAAAAATTGATTCGGTTGAATTACAATAGCCGGGCCCTGCCACAGGTTGAAAATGATTAGTTGCTAGATTCATTAGGTTCTAACATATATTTGTCATGTGGTAGTTTAAAGAAATTTAATTACGTATTTGTGTGTGTGTCTCTGTGTGGGTATGTACACATGCGTTCAGATGCCCATGAGGTGAGAGGTGAGATGACCTTGGAGCTGGAGTTACAAACAGCTCTGCACTACAAGCACCTGAGTGGGTGCTGGCACCAGACCTTGGGTTCTCTGCAAGAGCAGTATGCAGCCTTCGCCACTGAGCCATCTGTCCAGCCGTGTCACATGGGAACACTGAAATAAGAACATCGGCACCCACTGCTACTTGTTACTTGAAGATGCCAATGACAGAGACAGGAATTACTGAGTCTTTAAAGCTGACTTTTACTCAGAGAGCTGGCAATCTGAGAGGACAGTGGATTATCTGTGTCTTCATCTCACTGCCAGAAGGGATTGGGAAGTGTGCAAAGCCAGTCAGTCATTGTGGAGCCCCCGCTTGTCCCTCTTGTCAAGTGGTGAGGCCGGGTTTGAGAGTTACAATGTCTAACTCTCATTACCATCCCTTGCCCTCTTCCTTCCTCCCGTGGATGTTTGGACCCAGGCACATCTCAAAATGCTGAGTCCAGCTAATTCAATGTCTGTGTTGTCAACTTTGTACCCTTCCAGAGTCATCTGGGCTAGGGGTCGTGGCCAGCTCAGAACACATGCACCAGTAACAGTGAGCATGTGCTAAGCTACTAGTAACACATGCCAATTCTTTTTTATGATATACAGTATGAGAGCATCTTTAAAACAGAATACAAATGTGTTCCCCTCAATCCTCCTTCTTCCCTATAAATAGTAGGCAGGACATGGTGGCTCACAAGTGCCCTCAAATCTGACTGCTCACACGCCTGTCCATTTCCTGCTTCCCAGCGATTTTGTGTCTGTGACTCCCCATTTTACAGATTACAGGAGGGGGTTATTTAGCAGCCCTTTTCCAAGCATCTGCTGGTCATTTTCTCTCCTGATGAGCACTTGATTTCCAAAGTCAGCTACAAAGGGAGGAAAAGGTCACAACAACATCTCACTCTACTCCCCCAAAGGGGCTTGGTCCCCAAGGGAGAGTTGTTGCTCTTTGGTGTGATTTGGCATCAACCATTTGTGAGCAACAGCAGGATTTGGGCCAAGTGCTTGGTGTAGGTCTCTGGTTGGGGTTTGGCATCCCTTCCTTACCTCATGAGCTGACCCCTGAGCCAGGCTTGCAAATGAGTGCCATACTGGACAAATACAATGATGCTTAGCATCTGGGGGGTTTGTGACACTTGGCATTTGAAGAGTTGTTTAGTAGAAAATTTGGCATTGGAAATCTAATATAAAGTAATTGGAGGGGAAAATTCCATGTTTCATTTCAATATTTTCTGTGAAAAATCAACTCAAGTATTACCCTGGTGGTCGGGGTCTGGGTTAGGTATTTTCAGGTGACTTAGGGGTTTCTATTGCTGTGATAAAGACCGTGACTACCTTAGTTACAGTTACCATTGCTGTGATGAAATACCATGACCAAAAGCAGCTTGTAAAGGGTTTATTTGGCTTACATGTCCACATCACCATTGATCATTGAAGGAAGTCAGGACAGGAGCTCAAAGAGGGCAGGAAACTTGAGGCA